CGTGAATGAGTTCTGGCCAGAGACTCAACTAAAAGTACTGAGGATTCTGGGAGAACTCTTCCATCTTGTTTGCCACTTCCGGCCTTGAACAAGAATGCAATGTCCGGAGACATGGCAGCCTTCCTGCAGTCATGAGGAAAAAACCAAGGGAATCACAGAGGATACCAACTTGTAGTCCTAATATCACTGTGCTGCTGAACCAAGTCAGCAACTGCCTAACTCCACACCCCTGTCATGAGGAACCTATTTGCTTAATACACTGTTGGTCAGGTTCTCAGTTACAGCCCAAAGTATTTCAAACTGATATGATTGGCAAAAGCTTATTTGTACAGTGCTTGGATTGACCCTAGATATTGACCTTTACCTGGGTAAAATAACTAGCAATCCAGTGTGAGGAGAGAAGCTCCCCCTGAGAAGTGGGAAGGGAGGTAATGTAACTCCATTATAATCTGTTCTCTCCATGGAATTTTATCAGCATTTAGCAACCTCTGCAGCATTTTTGGCTACAAAGGAGAGTGAGAAATACTGTTTAGCCTTATATTCAAGGACCCATATAACTGACACAATGTGATACCAGGTTTACTAAAGCACAGAGGCCCCAGGGTTATGAGATCCTTATAATGAGCATCCCCTGGGAATCTCTGGAGGCAGGAGGCAGCGTAATAACACTCTCCTTGCTGTCTCCTTCTCCATCTTGCTCTGCCTTGAGTCTCTGGGGTTTTTACCGGGAAATTGCTTGCAATCTATTCTGGTCAGGCATCATGCTACATGAAAGATCTTAAAGAAGCAGAGTAAGAAAAGATCTAAGCTACACAAAAGTAAACAAAGATTTGACTGGATTTATGTACAAAATGCAAAAAAATAATAATAATACAAAAGAAAAATTAAACTTTTGTTTCAAACTCCCTGGTTTTAGTGACCAGGCAACATTCCAATATCCCACTTTTCAGGTACTGTGAGACCTTGACCTCAGTGATTTCAAACCCACTGTGAAGACAAACCCCAACTGTATTATCTCCTACTACTTTTAGATGGGAGTAAAGGTCTGACTACCATTTGTATTTTTGCAACATTAGAAACAAAATAACTTACTTAGTAACTATTTTATAGTCACTTATAATGCTTCCTTTGGAGTCATTTGTCTATATAATGTTTATTTTATTGCCACTTAGAAATCCAGCCAATTATTTGCATCTTGTAGGCTCTTAACCCATACTTCCAGAAAACCAACAAGTGTTGATGGATAGAAATCCAATGTCAGAGCGACAGCAGCAGTGTAGACTGGCATATCAGACAGGAATTGTGTCCAGCTACTCATAACAGAAACAGGTAATTGTCTCTGAAAATGATAGAGGTTTATTTTCCTCTCATGTAAAGAAGTTTGGAGGCATTTCAGAGAGTCCATGTCCCAAGAAACTATGATCTTTCTACCTTACTGTTGTTTTTATCCTCAAGGTTGCCTCCAGTTACAAAAGAACCATAGCTGTTCCCACCATTGCATCCACACCCCAGGCAGCAGAGAAGAGTGAGGACAAGAAGAGGGTCCTTGGTAGCTGAGTCATCCCTCCTTAATGGCTCCCACAGGACTCTGCCCAACTCCTTCCACTGAAATCTCATTGGCCAGTCCCACAAAGGAGGCTGGTGCTATGGTCTGAATGTTCATACCCTTCCAAAATTCATAAGCTGAAGTCCTAACTCCCAGTATTAAGGAGGTGGGGAATTTGGGAGGGACTTAAATCATGAGGGTAGCACCTTCATGAATGGGATTAGTGCCTCATAAAGGAGCCTCTGGAGAAATCCCTTGCCCCTTCTACCACCTAAACAGCAGAGCGAAGGTGATGGCTCTATACCAGGCAGAGGGCCCAACCATGCTGGTGTCTTGGTCTTGGATTCCTAGCCCGCAGAATTATGAGAAATACATTTTTGTTTTTATAAGCTAACCAGTCTGTGGTATTTGTCTAGAACAGCCCGAACTGATAAAGACAGCTGAGAAACCTAATTTTGGGCTGGGTACTTTGCCATCCTTCAGGTTTGTGTTTATAAAGAAGAGGAAACTGGAAACTGGCAGTTTCTGCCACAGTTGGCAGAAGAAATAGAGTCCTTCTAGAAAGTGTGTGAGCACATCCAGATCAGTTTATTCCACAACATCATGCGAAGCAACCAGATCACCCTGATGGAGGAGATGTGAATCATGGAATCAGAAGTTGGCACATTGATGATTTCTGGGCTCTCAACCTCTGTTCCCCCAAAGAAACTAAGATCCACCTTTCTCTGGGCAGTTATCGAGAAGACCCTGAGTTTAAGCCAACATAACCTAAAATGATCTAGACCTGGGGACATCAAACCACAGCCCGTGGACCAAATTTGCCCCTCCACCTAGTTTTGTAAATAAAGTTTTATTGGAAAACAGCCACACACATTTGTTTATGTGTTATCTGTGGCTGCTTTCATGCTACAACAGCAAAGTTCAATAGTTGCTGCAGAGACCTGGCCCACAAAGCCTGAAATATTAGCTTGACATTGATTAGATTGCTCTTTCAATCTTCTCAACCTATGCCACTCTCCTCCACACCTTGTCTTGAAAATCACAGCAAAACTGGGGATGAACTCACTCACATCACCTGCTCCAAGTCTATAAAGGTATAGACTGACTTTGTCCTCCCTCCCCCGAAGGAAGGGAAAATTGCCTCCCGTCTAAGGATAATCTCCACCTACAACCCAAATTCCAACCCCTCTTCAACCCTCAGCCATCAGTTATGCCCCTTTCCTCTCCTCCACCAGCTCCTCTTTTTGGTTCATGAATCTGTAGCGGTCCCTCCATCCTAGGCTGCCTCTAGCTCTCTCCCTTCAGAGCCCAACTAGCTGAAGGAGTCTCGCACTTCTCCACTTTCTCACACCCCATTCATACTTCAGTCCACTGCAGTCTGGCCTCCACTGAGCATTCTCTCGGAAGCACTGCCAACCTGACTGCCAACTTCAACTGTCACTTCTAGTTTCTATTTCACTTTGCCCAGCAGTTGACTCTATTGATCATTCTTCCTTCTTGAAACTTCTCTCTCAGTGTCTATGCATCTACTTTCCTGTCTCCCTTCCTCTCAGGTCTGACCTATTTTGCCTCTCCCTTGTCCTCTGCCTGCTTTTTAAAATGCCACTGTTTCCCAGGATTTGACCTTTTACCCTCATCACGCTCTCATGCCATCCCATGGCCATTTCAGCCACACCCACTGACAGAACGATGGCTCCCAAATCTTTATTTTAACTCATGCACTGTGCTAGCTTCAGAGTCAGATTTCAAATTTCCCACAAAATGTGTGCACTTCAATGACCTACAGACACCTCGAGTTTAATGTTCCAGAACCCAGTTCATTATCTTTTCCTCTTATTCCTTGCCTCAGGAAATCATACCACCATTTCCCCAGGTCATTACCTTAGACTCCTCCTCACACTCTACAGGGAATCAGCAGCCAAGTCCTGTAGAATTTCACCAGCTTGACACCCCTTGCCTCTCTGTTCCCTCCCTCAGCTCCATTGCCATGGATACCACCTTAGTCCAAGACCTGGTCACCTCCCATTTCCACTATTGCAGTTACCTCTTAGCTGATTCTTCATCTCTAGTCTTCCTCCCCTCCAACCATCCTCCAGATAACTGTCAAAGCAATCTTTAAAAATTGGAAATCTGAACTTCACACTCTAAAAAACCCTTTGGTGGCTCCCCACTGTGTGCAGGTAAACAGCAAACATCTTAGCATTCGAGGTATACACTGGCCCTGCCTGTCTCTCCGGCCTTGTTTCTAGTATTTCTCCACCCCTTTAAAATCTATTCTGCATTTATACCCACTCACATTCCCCAAACACCCTATGGTTTTCTGTCCCTGTGCCTTTATACATGCCATCCCACGTTAAGGAATACCTTCCCTCACTCGTTGGCCTAGAGGAGTCCTGTTCTTCCTTGTAAAGTCACTATGGTGAAGCCTCACATAACTACTCTCGCCAGAGTGAAACAGCTTGCATCTTTCTTTGTATAATCTGTGCAAAACCCAAACAGTGTCCATGTTGAATCATGATGCAACTCTTTGCTTTCAGAACTGCCTCTCCTACTAGACTATGAGATTCTTAAGGGCAAAGGCTGTAAACTTTTTGTCTCCTGTCATATCATCAGCACTTAGCAGGATGCTACTAGATTGCTACTGGTATTGATCGTTGCTATTGTTATTAGATCATTGTTATTTGAATATAAATAGAAATTAATGTCCACAATTTAAACCTCAATATTTAAGATGCACAGTTACAAAATAAAGACATTTCTGTAGTAATAAGATTTTGATTAAAAAAAGAAAAATAAGAGCTCTAAAAACAGGAAACAATTTCATCTACTTAGTATGATTTAACTACACCCCAGACTAAAGGCAAGATAAATGGTATTGCTATTTAATAAGGTCCTTCTCAATTTTGTGATCAGTCAAATCAGCTCTACGATTTTTAGCAAGCTCTGACCAGCCCAGTTTAACATGAATTCTGTTTTTGTTTTTGTTTTTTTAATCTAAGTGGTTAGTTCAGATGGCAGAAATACCACATCTTCCAATGTCGAAAAAAACCAAGGTCTGAATCAAAGCTCAGTCTCTTAATTGTATTTTATGAGTTGGAGATATTTCCTCTTCTTGAAGTTCAGTGTTTTCAATGGTCATACAAGCTAGTGGAAGCAATTCACCCAAACACTTCACACTTCGGTACTCTGTACATAGTGACTGCTCAGTGATGTTTCTTTCCTTCCCCTTTACAGAATAAAATTGATTTCTGTACCTTTTTATCTGAGCATTTCTTCACAGAGATGGTAAATCCTCTCCCAGAACCACGCTCTCTCCTCCTTAGACTGACAACCAAGAACTCTCATCAACTGCTGGTTTTCTCTTTAGAAAGTAACACCTTTCAGTCTTCTCTTTCTTTGTTTAGCTAAAACTAAACAAAGTGGTCAATATAACAGATCAAAAACATTGATTTACCTTAAATGCCAACCTGCTGCCACCAGTTGCTGGGAACTGAAACTACGGACGCTCTCCCCAGGTCTGTGTCTGGGAGGGCTCAGGCCTACCACCCCCCTTGGCCTCCACCCAGTCACCTTCCTCCGCGGTCTTGCTGGCCGCCCTCTTGGCGCCGATTGCACAGCTTGGACTCACTGAAGCAGAGTCACAGCCTGATTGGCTCAGCTCACTGTCAATCCCTACCCTGGCCCCGCCTTCTCTCAAGTTTACACTTTTGTTGCCTAGGAAATGCGGGGACTGTGAAAGCCCCAGCAGTTTCCCGGGGAAGGAAGCCAGCAGGAAGCGTAGCTGGCGATTGTTTGGTTTCAAGGACATCAAAAATTGCCTCTTGGTTGTATAAAATAATGTTCAGCAAAAAATAAATAAGTAAATAAATAAATTAATTAATAATAATAATAATGTTCAGCAAATTGCCTTACTCCATTAGGCAACCCCTTCCTGCCCTCTGTTGCCTCCAGAGGGGGCATCTTGCTACGGTGTCTCATTATCTCTCAGGTGAGACTTAAAACCTCAACACACAGGATGCCACGTGTAATTCTAAGTGATTCAAAGTCCTCTCTCCTTCTGCACAAGCTCACACTGACAGGATGCCATTCCGTACTGTTTGTGCCCTTGCTGTCTTCTTTTCTCCTTTCTTCTCCTCCTTCTTCTCACTTCTCTTTTTACACTTGTTCCTTAGCAATGAATTTGCCAGATTAGAAGCAGTCTAGTGTCCTGTTTAAAGTTTTTTTTTAAAGATCTTATTTATTTATTTGAGAGAGAGAGCACATGAGAGTGGGGAGGGTCAGAGGGAGAAGCAGACTCCCTGCCGAGCAGAGAGCCCGATGCGGGACCCGATCCTGGGACTCCAGGATCATGACCTGAGCCGAAGGCAGTCGCTTAACCAACTGAGCCACCCAGGCGCCCTAGTGTCCCGTTTAGAAAAGAGTGCCTAACTCACGCTCTCCTTCATTCTTGTACCCCTGACATCCACCCGACCTCATCAGTTCCACCCTTTCTCTCCCTTCTGTCATGAAGTAGTCCAAAAAACTAGAACTCTAATGATGAAGACTGGAGTTCCACATTCTCTTCTGCATTGTACATCATGTGGATTCTCAGACGAGTGTGGCCACTGATTCCTATAATCTCTACAGAGGACATTATATTTGTCTTGTTCACTTCTCACCCTCGCCCTGGAGATCAAAGAGGTATACTCTCTGTGGATTTTAATAAAGATTTGCCTTGGTTGAAGGAATTTCCATCGGAGTGTGGTTTGAGGAACAAGAAGGGGCCACTTGCAAAATAAGTCCTTTGTCTCTCTTTTAGGATAAATGCTGTTTTCAGAAGGCCCTTCTCTATGGTACATGACACCCACCAAGCAGTAAAAAGCTATCGACACTGGCAGGGTACTTGATGTGCGACCCACCTCCACTTCAGGATAGTTCTGAGTGTCTTCCCCACACACCGTTAGCTTTTCATCCAAAAACATGCCTCCTTACTGCAGCTGACCTCAAGGAACTAAGCTGTATCATTTCATTTCACTAAGTGAAATTACTAAACTAAACTAACCACTGAGACAAGATGCACTGCGAATATCAGATAGTCCAACTTTCAATTAATTCATCAGTAAGACTGCGGGAAGCCTCATGAGAGGACCAGCATACTCTGGATCATCTTTGCATCTTCCACAGCACCCAGCACGATGCCCTGTACAAACAGGAAATCAGTCAATGTTGGCTGAGTCAAATTGTTGAACTGGGTAAAATGCACTCATATTAAGGACATTCAAAATATGAAATCTAGAAATAGTTCCTTGGACTAAGTAGAAGTTTGCTTAATACAAGTATTCCATTTACCTCCTTTTTCAAGGATAATTGGCTGACATTTAAACAAATAACCACAGTATAATAATCACAGTAGCCTGCAATTAGGATGTGATAAACCAAACAACAGAAGATTGACATGCGGGGAAAGCACATCCATAAGAGCATTTACTGTAGGAACCAATACGTGATCGTAGTTGGTGCTAATGTAGAAACAGATAAGCAGAAGAATCATTACATAATGAAGGAAAACATAAATGACAAATTGAACTTCATTTCAGAATCAAATGTACCTCCAAATACATGTATTATGCCTGTGTGTGTCATTTCTCAATTGTGTTATTTTAGGTTATAATTCTGGAACCACTCCGGGTCCCACTCACAAAATAAACTTGGATTAAGTCTGATCTATGAACCTGATCCCTTAGTCTGTTTACCATCAGTGCTCCGCTTCTTCAAGAAGTACCTCCAATTCTTATACACACTATCCCTTCTCTCTTCAAAACTGTGCTAGCTCTATCACTTTAGAAATTATTAGAATGAAATTAGAAATTCTAAATTAGAAATAATTTAGAATTATTAAAATGTATTTGCATTTCTAATTATATTCAAGTGCAACAATAATTCATGAATACTATATTTTAAGGGACTCCACAGAGTGGCACTGAAAAACACATCTCACACATAGAGATTTTCAAATCAATTTTAAAGTATAATTTGCAGACAACAAGCTGCTTCCCTTATATGGATATCATACAAATGTTACTCCATTCACCTATTGATGAGCGTGTAGTTTCTTCTTAGTCTGGGAGTTACTATCAATAAAGCTGTTATGAACATTTTTGTACAGATTTCCAAGTGCACATAGACTTTTGTTAACTTGAGTAAATACCTAGAAGCGGAATGGCTGGGTCATGTGGCAAGTGTGTGCTGAACTGAGAAACTGCAGAGCGATTTTCCTGTGTGCCTGCAGCATTTTCACACCCGACTCAGCAATGGAATGAGTATGAGTCCCAGGAGCTCCGTCTTCCCGCTAACTATTCATATGATCAGTCTTTTTAATTTTAGTCATTCTAGTAGGTGTGCTATGATACTCTGGTTTTATTTTTCATTTCTCTAATGACTAATGTGTCGAGGAATTTTTCTTTTTTTAATTTAATTGAATTTTATTATGTTATGTTAGTCACCATACAGTACATCATTAGTTTTTGATGTAGTGTTCCATGATTCATTGTAATTTTTCATGTGATTATTGGCCCTTTGCACATCTTCTTTTGAGAAATGTCTGCTCAAAACTTTTTGCTCATTTTTATGTTGGTTGTAAGATTTGTTTAGATATCCTAAATACAAGTTCTTTGAGAAATGTGCAGCAATATTTTTTCCCAGTTGATGGCTGATATTTTTGTCTTCTTATGCATGTCCTTTAGAAGAGTGAAAGTTTTTCATTTTGATAAAATCCAATTTATCAAATGTCTTTTATGATTTGAGCTTGTGTGATCTGAACAATAAATCTGTACTACCACAAGACTATACTGACTTTCCTTTAGAATGTTCATAGTCAGTGTTCACATTTAGGGTGATGATACACTTTGAGTTCATTTTTCTGTATGGTATACACTAACAGTCAATGTCTTTTTGTGTATGTTATTAAAGAAAAAAATCAAAGGCCATTCAGATATCACTTGTTCCAGTACAATTTGCTGAAGAGATTTTTCTTTTCGCAATGACTTGTCTGTGTACCTTCTTCATGAATCAACTGAAGATGTCCGTGTGGGTCTATTTCAGAGTTTTCAAGATACACTTGGGAGTGGTAGCCAGAAACAAATCACGGAGGGCTTGTATTCCATGCAATGAGAGCCAACAAAGGATCTGAACCAGGGAATGATGAGATCATATGTCCATACCATCAAGGCCATGCTGACAGTCTGCCCAATGGAGAAGGTTTCAATGGAATGAGACTGGAGGCATCATCTCCGCTCACTGGCTGCCTTGGATCAGATTCCCTGGATGGAGGTGGAGCCTAGGGAAGCAGCAGGCACAGAGTTGGCCTCCCTGAGTTATAACTCTTCAGGGAGGATGACATGGTGGGAGTGGGAATAAGAGTCATCAGCTGGAAGCCCCTTCCCTTGATCCCTTTGTTGGTTATGAGGTGAAAAAATCTTGGCTATTTATTCTAATGACAACACAGAGAAAGCTTCAGGTCTGCCTTTCAAGGAACTATTACCAGAGACCAATTTCAAAGATTTCATAAGAATTGCAGAAATAAGACCTTGAATTACACACACACACACACACACACACACGTCCTCATGAGACATGCCTGTGGCTCTAGGTGACACTGCAGCAAGAGAACTCACAGAACTCAGTAGACACCTGGCACCAGCTCTGCATTCTACCCAGAAAAATCTTATCCTGACATTGGCAAGGGTGGACCTCTTTCCACTTCTGCAGGGAGTATTTTGTAGTAGCATCCTCCATTTGAATTATTTCAACATGTGGTCACAACTTCGAATTGAGTAATCAAAAACTGTGGCGTCTGGGGCCATTCCATATATCTACTGTTTTCTTCACTATGTTTCATATACAAGATACCGTACATTTGAAACATTTAAGGATACATTGAATTCCACATGAAAACACAAAATCAAATATGATGGCACAATCATAGGAAGGTAAAACATATTAGACAAGGAACCTACCAGAGAGGGAGCCTGCTGTCTAGTAAAGGAGACAGAAAAGTCAAAAAAAAAGGGGGAGGCAGGGGCTACACAGCCTTTTTCAGAGAATCAAACACCAAACATATAAAAACTCTCGTGGTTAAGGCACATGTTTTTGAGTGTATTTTGTGAGGAACTGAATGCAATTCCTATACATAGAGGGATATTCTGTGCCATATTTGGGGAGCAGACGGATGTTTCCTAAATCAATAAAGTCCTGGGAACTGTTGTTATCACAGGACCTAAGGTTCCAGAGCTTCATAGGGAGGTCCGGGATCTTCAAGTGAGGTTTTCATAACTATATTTTCAGAGGGGCAATCTTGAGAAGGGAACTGTGAGAAGTGAAAACCACAGCATTAGCTGTGACCCAAAGGCAGGCTCCATGTCTGACCAGCAAAGGAGGTACTCTACACAGGAGGGGATTCAGCACAGAGAACACAGGTGGAGTCCTGGGAGGGTCATCCCTGCCTAGCTGCAGGGTGGAGACCAGACTTC